TTGATCCTGTACTCAATATTCAATGGAATCTCTTAAATTTTAGTAACCGATACTAAAGAGGCATCTGTGAGCACTTTAGAAAAGAACAAGTTTCAGTTTCTGATGGATCTCACTCAGTTATCTGCTTTCTAGCAATGACTATACCTCTTCCCACATTCAATTCTTTATTTAGTCAAGTGTTTAATGAGCTCTAATCACTTTTAAGTTTTATGTACCTGTAAGTAAGATAAGACACTGCCTTTACCCTTAAGTTACAGCAGCCCAGTGGGAAAGCCATTTGTCTACAACTGTTTACTATAAAGTGAGAGACAGATGGTAATGGAAAGTTTGGGGAACAACTAAATATTAGAGGCAGGGAGATAGCACTCAGGGAGAAAGCAGACACATGGGCAGAATCTTGAGGGAGGAGTGGTCCTGCGAAGGTTCTCAGGGTTTCTAAATAACAAGGACAAGCTGGGAACAGTGGAAAGGAAAGTCTGAAGCCTAAGGTACTAAAATAAGGAGAGGGACAGGAGACTAAAGCTTAGATCATGAAGGACCCTGGGTACAACACTTGGGGATTTTGACTTAATCCTGTATATGTTGGAACTTGTGCGGAAGGAAAAACAGTTTTTCCTCCTACTCTTTTAAATTCTTCTGGCTGGACTAATAATCAAATTAACGTGAGACAGATTAACAGGAGAAAATGACCAAACTTATTACCTGTATATATATAGGGGTTCCATAAAGGTATGAGACCCAAGGACAGATCGGGCAGTTAAGGGCATATGCCATGAGCTAAGGAGAAGGGGGTGGGGAGGGGATTGTGGTTTGGGACTTCGAAGGGCAGGAAGAAGATGAAAAGCAAAAGTTTGGTAAATAAATGTTTGTTGGGGACATCTTTAACAATGGGACACAGAGAGGACTTTGATCATACTTAGTTTGTCTCAAACTATAGTTATCTATGATAATAGGCTCCCTTCCTGGAGTAGACCCTCTATCTAAATTCTTGAAGCCAGTTAGGCGGGTAGGCCTAAGGTTCTTTCTGAGTCTTTTGTTTCTTAAAAATAACCAGCTTAAAATAATCAATATCACAAAATGTATATTTTGGGGTGGCAAACTCTGCTTCCTCTCAAAAGTTATAAAAGGATTTTAAAAAGATAGTTTTTGGCAGAAGTGGATGATGGGGAGAGCCGAGAGACTGGAGAGGCTACTTACTGTCGAAGCCAGGCTAGAGATGAGCAGATGTGTGATTCCTGCCACAGGGAGGGCGGGATCCAAGCATACAATTGAATCGCCAGAAAAGAACACTTGGGAAGGTAGACTAGGTACTCTAAGATGGAATTATGTCACAGACATCTCCCAAATGCTAATGAACTCCAAGACCGACAGCGGAGGTAAGTGAAGGACAGTCAGGGAGAGGTGGTGGTTAGATTCAAGGAAACTGTCATAAAAAACCTCGAGTTTCCTTTTCTCCAGGGAGCCACATTGCCTCGCTTCTCCCAGGGTCTCAAGAGTATCCGCATCTACCACTGACTACAATCTTTGCAGAGATGAGCTTTGCCCAAGACACACTTTAAAGTATTCCCTAGCTGTTCTACTTAGCCCTGTCATGGGTTCCCTAGATCCAGGGTGTGTCTAGATCCCAGTGACAAGAGATGGTACCCACTTTACAAAAGCATATTTTCTTTCTGGCCAGGGAAAGTGCCCATGGAAAAGAAAAGGCGGAGAAAGAAATCACAGGGTTTCCATGGGAATTCCTGAGAACCATGGACAACTAAAGCCCGAGAACAAGTGGGGACAGAGTTAGAAGGCCAGGCTCCAGCTCTGGGGGAGAATGGGCATGAGGCCAGGAGCTAATGGCAGGCGAGGAGGGCTCAGAGCCATAGATCCCACTCAGGACATTGAGATGGCTCAAAGCCAGGAGAGGGGGAGGGAGGCAGTAACTCTGAAAGGTTTACACTCCTAATCCCTAGGAAATGTTAGCTTTTTCCTGAGTTGATTAGAGACTCTGCTTATAAACTTCTATCCCAGTTTCCTGAAAACTGTGCACAGGTTAAGTTTCTCACTTCTTTACTTTCTTCTCTCTGTTGCTCCATCGTTTCCTATCTTCGTTCCAAACTTTCCCTCACACTCACACTGCCTTTGGGAGACGATCTCTTGCTGAAGTCTCTCTTCAGTTTTTGAGGAGAGAGGTATTCTTGGGCCATTGTCAACAATGGCCTAGTTTCTAATCATTTCCTCTTGGGCTCAAGTTCAAACAAACTAGGAGCACATCTTAGCTGTTCCTGTTCTAACCTTCGGGGCCAAGACAGGAATTACCATCATTGACATTTTCCTGGCATATAGCAAAGCATTATTTGGCCACCAAGGAAAGATGATCCTCACTGGATCCTTTTGGCACGAATGGAGGAAATGCATTGTTGTAATGAATGGAAGAGACGGGTTTCTGTGCCACTGCCATACAAGGTTTGGCTTGGGTCATTATACATTTCCCAGAAGGTTCAGGGGACTTCCAAGGGAAGCCCGTGAACTGGCAAAGAATGCTCTACCTCTCTAAGAAGTGAGCTACAAACTCCAAGAGTCGCATCGGTGGCTGCTCAACTCTTCCTCTAAAATGCACTCCCTAGAATCTCTGAAGCGTTGGACATACTTGTTTATGAGCAGTATGAAGGCTGTTTGAGCAATAAAATGCTCAAAGTACACATATCCATACTGTTTGACTTAGCAATTCCACTTCTGGGGATTTAGCTTACATACGGATATGTGTAATGATGTGTAAACATAAAGGTCATTACCGAAGTTTTTGAAATGGCAAAAGACTGGAAATAACCCAAAAGCCAGTCAATGATGAAACTCGTTAAATAAAGTGTGGTAATCCATACAATAGGATTCTATGTAGTGGTAAAAAGGAAGGAGGAAACACTTTATATACAGCCATGGAAAGTTTTCCAAGACATATTGTTAAGTTAAAAAAACAAACAAACAAACAAAGGGCAACACAGTATGGATAACTTGCTACTGTCTGTATTACAAAGAAAGGAAAAATTAAATATATATGCATTTGAATTTCCTCGTGTATGCATAAAGCAATGAAAGGACACATAAAAAATGAACCCAGTTGCTAGCTGGGGGCAAGCTGAGAAATGGGATGATGGAAAACTGGGATTGGAAGTAGACTTTTCACTGACAGTCATGACAAAACGCCAGCTAATAGGTAAATACTAGCTGTTAGTAAATAGAGAAGAGGTTACTGATTCAGCAGCTGATAAAATTTTTAGGCGTTCTTTCCCCCAGAACAAGACTGTGATCCTTTTTAAAAATATGTCATTGCCCAGTGCCCCTGTTTACAAGTAGCTCTAGAGGATTTCTAATTTATGACTATAGGCCTCTTCCACAGACACAACTGACTGTCAAAGAATTTCCCTTCGCCTATCATTTGATATATTAAAAGGCCTGGATGGAGTGTGACAGGCGAGGCTACAGGCTGGCAAGTACTCTCCTTATTTCCTTTCTGCATGCAGAATCTTAGGAAGTCTTTTAAAATTCTGAATCTGGATTTAATGTCCATAATAATGATACCTTTTAAAACAATTTGAACCATGTATCTATTACCTATTAAAAACTTTTTTTTAAATTGACCATAAGAGCTGTCACCAGGAAAATAGCAAACCCTAAATCCACTTCCAGTTACTGTCTAGAAATATATTTTCTCTTCTTTATTAAAGCTTGAAGGAAGAATTTCTGGGGTATAGAGTGATCTGCAAATTAGCACCTTGCAACTATTAATGTTTTACACTTCGTAAAACAGCTATTTTATCTCCTAACAGTTATTTGTGCCAGGAAGTCACCCCAAATGATCCAGAGTCATCTTAACCCTTAAAAAAGGTTAAGATGGCCCTTGGAATGATATTCTAGTGTGGCGCTGGGAACCACAGTCTTTTTATAAAAAGCGAGCCCCGATTGTGATGGGAGTACGCGCAGGGTTGCCACCAGTCTCTAGGAGCTTTAGTGCAAATTACAAAGTGAAATTCATTCCTCCAGTTACTTAACATCTAACAACTGGCAAATCATCCTAATATACGTATTCCGTTGGACCAAGATACTTTACTCTCACCTACCAGAACATCCAGAACATTTTTTTTTATAATAAATGTCTTAAACTCTTGATGAGACAACATTCCCTGAGGTTGTGCAGTGCGCAACCTGACCAACCATACTGGGCAGCCCCGAGCACGTGGTGCCAGGTGCTCGGGGCATTCTCCCTGAGCAGCAGCGCAGTGGCCCGCAGGCCACAAGTGTTACCGCGGCCCCTCTTGGGTTGGGTTGCCACACTTTACAGAGTTGGCTGCTAAGGAGACAACTACTCAACCTAAATAGTTTCAGATAATTTATTACCTGCATGTATGTGAGGTCGGCATTGGGTCAGCTCCTCCCGTTTCTAGTCCCACAGGATGAAACCAAATCAGAGGAGATCAGATGACACTGAAGAGACAATTCCAAACTAAAGCCTCAGCTTTATAGCCTGCTGCCATAACCTGTGGCAATCTCAAGATAGGGAAGTGGGTGATGGCCTCATGGCAGTTCCTCACAAGCCAGCTTATCTTCCTTAGTTTCAGAAGGAATCACTTGGGTCAGACTACAGTAAAGCTTTCCTGGTGGCCTGTGTGAAGACATGCAAGTCACCAGGGTGCCAGAGTGGAGCTGTTCTCCATTGATGAAATGTGAGAGTTCAGACATTTGTGGTAGCTCAATGGACAAAAAAAGACCAGGAAGGAGGAAGGAAAGAGCCTAAAATAAATAGAACCTATTGACTCACTAACTGCAAGGGACAGGAATCTATTCCAAGAAGGATTTGCACGATTAGTTGTAAGAAGGCTCCAGCACTCGACACTGCTCCTTGGTGAGAGTCAGGGAGAAGGTGGCTTTGGCTCGAAAGGGAATGGAAGGCAGACACCGAAACAGCAGACTAACACAGCCCTTCTCCTTGTTCCTTAAAGGCCTTCCACTTCAGCATGACGATGCGGCTCCCCAAAATGAAGCTGCTGTTGTTCCTGGTTTCCCAGATGGCCATCTTAGCGCTTCTCATCTATCTGTACAACCACAACCCTAACTCCCTGCCTAAGAGGAAGGAGCTCAAGCCCATGCACTTGCTGGTCCTGTCTTCATGGCGCTCTGGCTCTTCTTTTGTGGGGCAGCTTTTTGGACAGCACCCAGATGTCTTCTACCTGATGGAGCCTGCCTGGCATATCTGGATGAGCTTCACACAAAGCACCCCCTGGAGGCTGCATATGGCAGTGAGGGATCTGATACGTGCCATCTTTTTGTGTGACATGAGCGTCTTTGACGCCTATATGAAACCCGGCCCGCGAAAACAGTCTAGCCTCTTCCAGTGGGACAGCAGCCGGGCCCTGTGCTCCCCGCCTGCCTGCAACATCTTACCACGGGATATGATTATATCCCAAGCTCATTGCAAGCTCCTGTGCAACAAACAGCCCTTCGAGGGGGTGGAGAAGGCCTGCCGCAGCTATCGCCACGTGGTGCTCAAGGAGGTGCGCTTCTTCAATCTGCAGGTGCTCTACCCGCTGCTGAGGGACCCTTCCCTCAATCTGCACATCGTGCACCTGGTCCGCGACCCCCGGGCAGTGTTCCGTTCCCGAGAACACACCACGCAGGAACTCAAGACTGACAGCCAAATTGTGATGGGGCAGGAGTGGCAGAAACTCAAGAAGGAGGACCAACCCTACTACGCGATGCAGGTCATCTGCCAAAGCCAGCTGGAGATCTACAAGGCTGCGCAGTCCTTGCCCGAGGTCCTGAAGCAGCGCTACCTGCTCATGCGCTATGAGGACCTGGTCCGCGACCCCCTGGCCCAGACTGCCCGGATGTACGAATACGCAGGGTTGAAATTCTTGCCCTGGCTCCAGACCTGGGTGCTGAACATCACCCGAGGCAAGGGCATGGGTAGTCACGCCTTCCACACGAATTCCAGGAACGCCCTCAACGTCTCCCAGGCCTGGCGCTGGTCCTTGCCTTATGGAAAGGTGTCTCAACTTCAAAAAGTATGTCGCGATACCATGAATTTGCTAGGCTACAACCTCGTGGGATCTGAGCAAGAGCAGAGAAACCTAACGCTGGATCTTCTGGCTGCCTGGACCCCTTGGGGCAATTCTACCAAACAGGCCGAGGAGGCTCTATCCCCACCTGGCACCAGCTTCACCCACAGTAACTGAAGGCTGCTTCTGAGTCTTAATTATGTTGGTACACGAGAGCACGGGTTGTGCCCACACATGCGCAAACCGATAAATTTTTGTGTCTTTATTCATCTAGAAAAAAAGTAACCTTATGCGAGCGGCACATTCCACCACCTTGCTATCTGTGTAGACCTCAGAGACTCCATGGCCTGCGGTCCTATTTGGCACCGCACAGTATCAGTGGACTAAATCTATTATTAACTTCTTTGTCCACATCTCGCCCAGTGGGAGAAGGTAAGGACAGAAAAAAACAAAACAAAACAAAAAAACAGAAAAATGGGTCTTCCAGTGGAGAGCCAGTACATTCCACAGGGGTGTGAACTCTGAGCCCTCAGAGCTCTTGGTGGATTTGAAAAGAGGATGGGGAACAGGGCTGGATGCTTACCGAGAAGCCTGGCCATTATGGCTAGTGGTTATCACAAATACGAAACAAAATCTCTGCACAATAGAGCAAGCTCTTAAGTTCATCGTGCCTGGACCGGATTTGGATGTCATTTCCCCTCAGTGTTTTCCTCACACATAGAAGATTTTGACCTGTGAAGCTGCCATCTGTCAAATAAAAGTTCTAAACTAAGATTCTGTTTGGAGTGTCCCTTTATGCTTTCTAGTTACTTAAACACTCATTCTTAGGGGATCCTAACCTAAAAGCACAATTGTTTTTATAGTTTTTTTTAATACTTTGCTATTACCTATCACCCACACATAGAAAAGTTGCCAAGACAATATTTGGTGTCAGATGATAAGCTAAATCTAAACTGATCAATAACTGATTGATACATTGCCCTCTTAAGAATTTGTAGAAAGTAAACCAGCAACTAAGCCCTTTCTTTCTTGTGCCAGACCTTAGTTGTAATAATCCCATATGCATCACTCTCCGGTCTGGATAAAGAGTTCTTTTAATCTGATCCTTCAGCCAGAGGACCTCAGCTCTAGTATGATTTGGTGCTATTTAGCTCTTCCTGGTCAGCTCTCCTCACAAGAAAAGTTGTTTCTCCCAGTCTTTGCAGCATTCCCCAGATCTAGCTGTGTATCAGAAGCATCAGTTAAAACTTTATTTTGCCATGCCCTATCTCCAATTTGCTGGAATTGGACTCTCCCAGGGCCAGAAATGGGATTCCATGTATGTATCAAAAGACCGGGTGACTCTTCTATGGCCAGCCTGGCAATAAGTTCACTCTATACTGGGCAGCAACACTGCTGGCCCTCTTGCTGCAAGACAGGTGACTTCTCAGGGCATGCCAAGTATCTATACCACTCACTCCTGATGTTGGCGCTGTCCTCTTGTTGCAAAGAATGGGAAGGAAGTCTGTATCTGTCTGGAACTCTGTGGATCTCTGAGTCCTAACTTTTTAAATATTTCACTTTGTCCAAACCTGAGAGATACTATCATTTCGAACTCCCACTTTTGACGTGGTCCTCACCTCATAAAACTCCCTCAATATCAGAAAAAAATTCTCCTGCTCCAACTCTGCTAAGTAACTCTTGGGCTCTGCCAGCAACTGAGATGCTTGAGTAGTGTTACCTTTGCCAGCTGAGTCTTTGTGGTTAATTTATATGTGGCTTTAAAGGAGTGAATTTATTCTAACATTCAAACCCAAGCCATGCTAGGCACTCCTCAAGAGCCTAGGATCTCCCAGGCAAATGCTTCTTGTCTACAAACTTAAGACAGTATAGCATAAAATCATGCTGCATAACTTCTCTAAAAATCTGACCCAGTGTCGAGTGAGCTTTAGTAAGCAATGGGACAATATCCTGTCGATGCATTCAGGTGGCTGACACTGGAATTCAATGAGAGTGGCAGTACACCACCTACGGGATGTGGGGAGTTTGGGGAGCTGAGAACCTATGACTAGTCCAGAAGATGCCTTCTACTAAACATCCTTCTAATTTGGAGACATCTGTGCTATCCCCAAACTCCAGCAACAGAAAGGCATCTGTTTGCCTCCTCAGCCTATTTAGCTGCATGGGGTCTGAGGATATTTAAATACAGATGAGGGATGAACCTAATCCAAATTTCTCAGGGCTAGTATTGAGGTTTGGGGAATGAACTCTCACGTCCAGAGCAAATAAGATGTACTGAAATACCTCACTGGAGGATAGCAATTGATGTTTTTATAAAAACAAACAAACAAACAAAAAAACACTGAGCAACTGCCCTAAGCCTCCACTTTGGAAAGAAAAGAGAGTTGAAAATTTTAAATAATTTTTTGGAGGGTAAGAAGGGGATAGTTTTGAAAGAAAGGGACTTTGACTGTAATTTAACTGTTACTATGGTGGCTTCTTTTTCTATGTAATGAGAGCAATTGCTAAGTTTTTAATAAATTTTAATTAAAACTATTCTTTTCAACTTAAGAATACTAGCGATGTAGAGAGATGGGAAGGTAGAACCAACTTCTGATTACTTTTGTGCAAAAATTTGCCATTGTATTGTTTGTAACATGTTTCTCAAAAAAGTTTACAATTTACTATGTGATTTAAACCCAAGCTAAATATAAATTAATTTCACTATGTATATTATCATGACTTCTACTGATTTACTTTCACAGACCAGCAAAGCAAAATTAAAAATGAATATAAAAATGAGTGACATCAACCAGTTAACAATACATCTCTGATAGGTATTAGCTGGAGACCCCCAATACCCTGGCATTTCGGTCGAAGACTATGCCTCTTTTCTGCATAAACGTTCCCGGTCATTCAGAGAAAGGTTATTTTTTAAATGCCGTATGGATGAAAAAGTAATGATAAATATCTAAAGAGAGTAAAGAGATTTTAATATAGCATTTCAGTTAAATACACCTATGTCCATGATTTTAAAAACTAACTACATGTAGATGATCCAAGAATGTATATTTCTGATGTATGTCTTCTCTGAGCTCCAGATCTATAAATCTAATCACCGATTTGACAGAGCTTGAACATCTCAAAAGATAGCTCAGACTCAACATGTCCAAACACTGCATACTAAATTTTCCCTTCCTCCGCCCTAGACCATGACACACATCTGTCCCCCTGCTTTGTTCATGCCACCATCATCTCTTTCTTGAACCACTGACTGGTCTTCCTGCCTCCAAGCTGTCCGCTCCAATTCAGTATCAACACTGTATTAAAAATTCAGAAAGTCCAAATTACTTAATATAGTTTAGAAAGCTTTTCATGATATGGCCCTTGTATCCCTCTCTTATAACTCCTTCTTAGATGCTACTTCCACTCGCCTCCCCCAATTCAAATTTATAGTTCTACCTAGGTACCACATTGGTACACACATCTGGATTTATAGTTCTACCTAGGTACCACATTGGTACACACATCTGGTTCTTAGATCATGCTATTTCTCCCAGCTAGAATGCCCTATTCTGTTCCACCCCAATTTCTCTGGCTTGTTTTATCAATCCTTCAGTTGTCAAATAAAACATCTCATCTGGGAGTTTTTCCTGGTTTTACCCTTAAGCCTCTGTTGCATGCCACTTGTACGGGCTTTCTTTTATCATAACATTTATCGCACTATAATAAAACCCTATATCACACTATAATTTATGTGTTCTTTGAGCTCTTTGAAGGCAGACACTGTCTTATTCACTGTGGTATAACCAATATCTAGCACAGTTCCTAGCACATTGTAGGCATTCGGTAAATATTTGTTTAATGAATGAAATCTGATCTCATCTGCATAATTTATAAAGGGCTCATTCTTCATGTAATACTTAGATAAAAGGCCAATCACAGAACCTTCTATTTTGAGAAATACAGTGACATGTTTAAAGATTCAGATAAGAAAGAACTGACAGTCAAAAGTTTCCTGTTTGAGAGAAAGAAGGAAGTTGAATCTTAAAAGCCAGAAGCTTAGAAGTGCTGGGTCAAGTGGGGTGGTGGCAGAGGGATAAATCAGAAATTCGAAAATTAAGTTGACTTTTATTTGTAATAGTGATATTACCGTAGCAAGAGAAGCTGCAAATTATGCTGGTTTTCTGAGGAGCTTCATGTGTTCATAGGGTACAGCATATGAACTTATCAATTGCCTCCTGGAAGCATTTGGCAAATACTTGCTGATCGCCTTCCAATTAGTTTTTAGCCAAATCTCCAAGTAGAAAATTTCCAGCTTGTTTTTTATTGTTTCTCCATCATCATATTGGCAAGGTATGGTTAAAGGAATGGCTTGGAGGGTAGAGTCATCTTTAATTCTTTTTCTTTCACCTTCCACATCCTACTGATCAGCAAATCCTATCAGCCCGACTTAAAAAATCTATTGAGTCAGACCAGCTCTCACCACCTCCACTGGTGCAATGTGCACCCAAACCAGCCTTAAATATCCCCTGAACTGCTGCCAGAGTCTCCTAACTGTTCTCGTGTCTCTTCATGCCGTCTTCATAGGTTGGCTATTACCTACAGGGGCCTACATAACAGGTAAATTAGATATTGATTCTCTGCCTCGTGTCCTCCAATAAATAGCCCAGGGGATTTCAAACTGGAGAATGGAGAAAAAAATTGGTAAATGCATATCATACTGTAGTGTTTAGCAATAGAAAGGAAAGAACTACTGATACCTGCAAAAAGCATGGTAAGTTTAACAGACTCGGGGAAAAACAGATAAAGACAGTACTGCTACAACTATCACAACCCTTGGGGGTCAGAGGGACTGTGCGCAGAGCCAAGGCTTCACTTTCTGAGGAGCAGCATCAGAGACTGCACCTTTGGGGGAAATAGATGTCCATAAACTAGTCCGGCCGAGTCACTGAAGGAATAAGCAAACGAGTCTCAGGCCAAAGAGGGATCAATATCCAGGAATGTCGCAATGTATTACTGAAATGTCCAGTTTTCAACAGAAATTATGAGACATGCAACAAGACAGGAAAGTGTAACCATAAACAGGAAGGAGAAGGAAGAGAAAGCAGGCAACAGAAACTGCCTTAGAGGGAGCCCCAGATGTTGGACTTAACAAAGATTTGAAAGCCCTCATCATAAATATGTTCGAAGAACAAAAAGATGTCATGTTTAAAAAATTAAAGAAAGGTATGCCGACAATGCCTCATCTAACAGAGAATATCAATAAAAGAAAGTTGTTTTTTTTTTAATGAATAATGATAAAGACACAAAGTGCCAAAACTTATGGAATGGAGCTAAAACAGTGCTTAAATGGAAATTTATATCTATAAATGCCAATACTTTTTTAAAAGAAAGATCTCAAATCAATAAACTAAACTTCCACCTTAAGGAACAGGGAAAAGAATAGCAAATTAAATCCAGAACAAGCAAAAAGAAGAAAATGATAAAAATTAGAGTGGAAATTAAGGAAAAGGAGAACAGGGCAAAAAAAAGAAATGAAATCAAATTCAATTCTTTGAAAAGGTCAACAAAATGACAAATCTTTAGCTTGACTGACCAAGAATAGAAAAGACTAAAATTACTAATATCAGAAATGAAAAAAGGGATATTGCTACTGATCTAACAGAAATAAAAAAGATTATAAGGGAATACTATGAACAGACAAATGGACAAAGTCCTAGAAAGAAACAAACTAACAAAACTAACTCAAGAAGAA